AGCTGGCCCACATTCTGCATTCATTTGCGTTGTTTCTCTTAAAGTACATATAAAGCCGATATTTTATGTTTTCAAAAAATGCTTAGTTTTGGGAACTTTGTGTTGCACAGTTGCATTGAAAATTTGAAATTTTTGTTTGGAATTATTATTTCTTCTATAAATAGCCACAGTGAACGTGATTACTCTTGAAAATCATTTGCTAGAATACGATCATAGTGAAACTTAACTAGAAGCAATGAGAAAATAAAGCCGGCCAATGATAAGTGACAACAATAGGCAGACAGATTATTACGAATCAGTAGAGATAGATGAGATTTTGTCTCTTGTAGTCTGGCTAACGTTAATCCCGCAGGATCCAGTGCTGCCTGATATTTAGCGGGCGCCAGTTTACTGAAACTTACACAACATTGAAGCAAACAAAAAAACCTTTGAAGGAAATTTTCACCGCTCTATCTATTTCAGTTTCAGTTGCGAATATTCTGGCTTTTTTGAAAAATTCATAAAATTTGTCACGTGTCAACATGCTGCTTCCGGTTGAACTGACCAACGAATCAAATAGCACGGACAGCTCTGCATGGCAAACATTTTAAACAATAATAAATATTAATCTCATCATCAACAAAACATGTATCATTATCACCATAACTATCATCACCATTATCACAAATGTATCTCCATCATCATCATCGTCATCACCATCATCAACCACTCACTCACTCTTCTTCCAGTCCCAGTATTCCTCAACATTCTTCAGAGTTGGGTTGATCTCCACTCCCTCTTCTACCTTCAAATTCCTCAAAACTTTCTCGCAGAACTCCTCGTACTCCTCCGTCAGCTGGACGACATAATATGAAAGAACACCATTTATTCATTTTCATACATGGCATCTGTGTGCTCACTTATTTGAAACAACGACTGTTGAATGTGTGACGTGTTCTGAATGTCAGCTCAGAAAGATTTTTAAAACTCACGACAGCAAAATCTTCCTTCATCTTCATCCTCTTCATCGTCATCTCGCCCCGCCATCGTCTCCACCGTCTCTGAATGAGTACAGCTGAGTGGAAGAAGTTCAACTTACAAACATCATTCCAGTGGTAGGAGCTGGAACAAGCATAGATATGATTGGTTGGATGAACTAGTAACGAATTGTTATTGGCTGGATGAACTAGTAACAAATTTGTGATTGGATGGATGAACTGGTAACAAATTATGATTGGACTGATAAATCGGGATCAAGTTGTGATTGGATGGTTAAACTAGTAACAAATTTTGATTGGTTGAGTAAATGAATGAGAAATAGAACTGACCTCATGTAAATGTTTTGGTGGAGACCGATCGCTTCATCAGTTTTCACAATTTTCAAATTTTCCTTCTTAGTTTGACTGGAGCCGAGGTGCTTTTTCATGATTGTACATGTTCAGTGTTTCTCTATTGCGCATGTCACCCTTCAATCGTCTTATTAATTCCACAACAGAACTCTGTGATGCTATCTACAATATTCAACGTTTGAATATTCTAGAAAACCATTCACAGTTTCCAGTTAATTCTTGATGTCTTTGAAGTTTATGTTTTTTAGTTATTTGGAGAAAATTTTGGCTACACTCATTATCAAGGAGTTGAAAAGTCCAAAAAAGCAATAAAAACATTTTCCTATGACATTTAAGACATTCATTCTGCAACCATTTAAAACAACCTGCTAAATAAAAGTAGTCATTTATATTTCAGTGAATACGTAAGAAACCAAACAACGGAAATGTTCTCAACTGGAGCAGAAATCATTCAGCATGCAATTTGTGTAAACATTTACATCCACGTAATGTCAATGAGTCAACTCATAGAAATGAGCAAATACAATGAATATATTTGCCTGTTACTCTCTCTCACTTTCTCTTTTTCACTCTCTCTCTCTCTCTCTCTCTCTCTCTCTCTTTCTATCTTTTTTCTTTCTTTTTTGTCGTGTAATTTGTAAATCATCTGTTAAATTTGAAACAAAAAAGTACGGATTTTTAAAATTTAACGGTCATCATGTGATCGCTGAATTAAAATGAATAGAAAAATGATAATAATAAGCGATTATTTTCGTTTTTGTGACAAACAAACAAACATAAAACCATCTCAGATGTTAGAAGTATTTGACATTTTTTAGATTTTTAGCCAGCTCTGTCAGGCACAGAGCTATTTACAAAGTAATCTTCAATTACGATTAAACTTTCGTGCTGCATACACAACATCACATGATTCCCACACCACACACCAAAAAGATTCCACACCACACGACGTACGAACACCGCATTGTTTTGACTTTCAGACAAAGGATTCGAACTAGGTAGAACCGAATCACGTAATAACTGCCAGAAAACATGGCGCTTCTACCGTTTAAGCTAACTCGACAACCTGACTTCCAGAAATGTGCCTGACTTCCAGAAATGTGTCACAGCAAAAGAAATTGTTGCTGTTACTAGCCACGAATGCATTAACATCAGTTGTCTGACTCCATCCATCTCTAATGGAAGATCTAAAAACGTTTAATGAAGTGTATAATTTACAGATTTTTAGCTTTTTTGTCGGAAAAAAAGAAACTTTATAATTTTTTGGTCATAAAAAGTTTTTTCTGGGAATAGAAAAAGCCTTACCTCATTTATTTGGTTTACAAAAACTGTGAGGGTTGACGGATTTATTATACATAATTTTAGTTTGGGTAGTAGAATCAATCATTACCCGTATGTGTGTGTGTGTGTGTGTGTGTGTGCATGTATGTGTATGTGTGTGTGTGTGTGTGTGTGTGTGTGTGTGTGTGTGTGTGTGTGTGTGTGTGTGTGTGTGTGTAAATATTGTCACTTCTTTACACTTTAACGTCACATTTGGATTTTTGGAAACTTCTTATTCCATGATGGAATCATTGATCCATACCTACATGGTTTTAATTCTACATACCTACATACACGCACACTTTGGCTGGTAAGGAATTATTTTAAAACGTGACTTTTTGATAAAAAAATTGAAGTAAAATGCATTCGATTTATTGATTAAAACTTTTCATGGCGTTTCATAATGCTTTATTTCAATTTCATCGTGTAAATCATTAAAAAATGATTATTAATTGTTACTCCATATTAATATGTGCTAGAAAATTTCTACTTGTTGAGGAGTAGTAAAAGTTAACTTTTAAAAGGGCGGGTGAAGCCGGTGAAACGAATTGCAAAGACTGGCGACGTTTAAATCGGCCCAGTTGTCCTGTCAATTAGTTTTTGGCGTTATTTAAAATTTTAAATGGATGGAAAGACGAAAAGAAACGCGAAACAGCAGTTGAAAAGAAGGCAGCCAAGCGATGCAAATGAGGTGTGCTGAAACTTCAGAGTTTGATCACTTAGTATATATATATGTAGAGTTTATATAGCGCTCGTTCAAGTTCTCACAAACGCTTTATCCCACAAGTGCGCTTTGATTTTAGTAACAATAGTAATCTTGTATTTAAAATTTTGATACAAAAAACCACACAGTGCAGAGTTACGGTAGTAGTAGCAGTAGAGGTAGTAGTAGTAGCAGTAGTATTAGTAGTAGTATTAGTAGTAGTATTAGTAGTATTAGTAGTAGTAGTAGTAGTAATAATAGTAGTAGTAGTAGTAGTAGTAATAGTGCTAATAGTAGTACTTGTGGTAGTAGTAGTAGTCAATAGGCAGTACATTCAATCAATCAAACTTATCCACCTACCACAAAGAAATCAAGATTAAATATTTTATTTGCTTACTTATTCATGATAATTAAAATTACAATCATTCATTCATTAGTAATAGTTTTATTGGCATTGCTTTTCACTTTTACTTTTTACTAACTTTTTACTTCAGTGGATGAAATAATTGGTGAATAATTAAAGAATAAATGAATAATAGATGAATTAATTAAAATTAATCATTGATTCATCTCTTCTTCATTAATTTAATTAGGAATGAATTATAATATTTTAATGCACTGTCAAAAAGAATAAATTTTGAGACAGAGGTTAGTAAAGCATTGAACATTAATGGCTTAATGCCCACAATGGAAATTAGCAAGCGAGATTGCTAGTTAGAAGCAGTAAGTAAAAGTTTGTATTAGAAAAAATAAGTTGTTTTTTCATTAACTTTTATTTGATGTACATAGAAGCTGCTTATTTCATAAGAACTGCTATGCATACGCACAATGAAGAGTTTAATTGCCAAGCCATACATAGCCTATTATAAATAATCAAATTCATGAGTCAGTTATGTTTAGTTTTAGGAGTTTAAAAGTTTTAAAGGCAATTTTAAGCTTGAGAATAATTTAAACATTTTTTTTTAAAATTTGTTTAAAAGGAAAATCCTAAAACAAAATTGAAGAGGTATGTCGCTGTTTCAAAAAAATGCGATGACATCACTGACAAGGTATTAACAAAGAATAAAAAACCTCTGAAGGATAAAGTAAATATTGTTGCTACTGCTGCTGCTGCTACTGCTACTACTGCTGTTGGTAATAATGATAAGGATGATTTTCAGCAGAAGATGAATAAAGCTAAAAATTTTAAAACAAAAGACTCAAAAGAAGAAAAGATCAAATCTTCAACTGGTTCCAAAATAACTACCAAAAATAAGAAACAGGAAAGAAAATCTAAAAGTTATAAAGAGGAAGTTGATGATGATGATGATGTCAAAGATGATATAAATGATGATGATGATTTTAAGCAGAAGATGAATAAAGCTAAAAATATTAAAACAAAAGACTCAAATGAAAAGCTCAAATCTTCAATCGGTTCCAAAATAACAACCAAAAATAAGAAACAGCAAAGAAAATCCAAAATTTATAAAGATGAAGTTGATCAGGATGATGATGATAATGATAGTGGTGGTGATGGTAATGATGATGGTGATGATGATTTCAAACAGAAAGAAAAACCAGCTACAAATGTCAAAACAACCAAAACAAAACAAAAGGCCAGGTTGTCATCAACTGTTTCCAAAACAGATACCAAAGATAGCAAAAAGAGAAGATGTCTTAAAAATTATGCAGATGTGAAGTTTGAAAAGGATAAAGATGATGATGGTGAAGATGGTGATGATGATGGTGGTGGTGATAGTGATGCTAAACAGAAACGAGTAAAGAATGTTAAAACAATCAAAACCAAACGAAAGCTCAGATCTTCAACTCGTCACCAAAAAAATACCAAAAATAAAAAACAGGTAATTTTTAAAAATGATGATGATGATGACGACGATTATGTTACTGAAGATGATGATGATGATGATTACATTGGGAAAAAGAAGATGACGATGATTATGATGATGATGATA